GCGCGGCCCGCGGACACGACCTCCCCTGCCAGCCTCAAACCAGGGCGCCCCTACCCCCCACCACCGCACTTCGGCCAACTTCGGAGTCTCGGGACGCGTCCCCTTGGGCCTCACACTCTCCCTCCCCCCTTCTGCTTTCCCACACGCGCTCTCTCCCCAGAGGCCCGATGCGGGGGCGCAAGGTCCGAGGGCAACCAGGCGGCCCGCGGACACGACCTCCCCTGCCAGCCTCAAACCAGGGCGCCCCTACCCCCCACCACCGCACTTCGGCCAACTTCGGAGTCTCGGGACGCGTCCCCTTGGGCCTCACACTCTCCCTCCCCCCTTCTCTGCTTTCCCAGGAAGGCCCGGCCGGCCTTCGGAGGCGGTGCGGGGAGGAAAGGGGCAGCCCCACTCCCGGAGGAGAGGGGAGCGCCTCGTTATGCCGGGCTCACCCGGGATACCCGGCTCTCGGCGGCGTCGGGGCCTGCAGCCCTTTGCCCTCGGGACCTCCCTTCCAGCAACAGCCATGAGCCCTGGGGAGAGACTGTGGCTGCTGAGCGGAGGAGCGGGCTCCCTGATCCCGGGAGGGAAACTGGGGCAGCCCCGGAGGCCTGGGAGGCGCATCTGCCAGGCAGACGGTACCTCGGTACCGCGGAGGGGGCTAGGTGCACGGGCAGAGCTGCTTGTCCTCGTCCGGAGCCAACAGCACCTGCTCTCCCCCTGGCGACCGCGTTCGCTCGGCAGGACCAGCCTGACCACAGAGCGGGGCAGCCATCCCAAGGTCATGTCATGCTGAGGGCAAGGTTAGGAAACACATCTAGTCACCGTGGGAGGTGGCCGCTGGCCCAACCTGTTCGCTCTCGCCCTTAATTCTAGGACTTTGGGTGTTGGGGGGCTGGAGGGAAAAGGGGGGGTCGTGATATAACTTCTGGTAGAGAAGCTGCCAGACAGGAGCCTGCCCAGTCCCTTCCCCAACTGTTTTAAAACGCCACCTGGCCTGCGGGGACCAGACACCTTGGGGGGGAAGGGAAGAAGGGGGCTGAGAAATGTGGCAGGTGGAATGAGGGTGACCCTTGGATTAGGCCTGGGTTTGAGTCCCAGCCCTGTCGTTGGCTAGCTGTGTGACTGAGCAAGTCACGTCTCCTCTCTGGACCTCATAAATTCAGCTCTGAAGCGGCACTTGAAACCAGCGATCTGCCTGTGTCCCTCAGAGGACTGTTATGAAAACAATGCATCAGGCCCTAGCCGGTTTGGCTCAGTGGATAGAGCCTCGGCCTGGGGACTGAAAGCTCCCAGGTTTGATTCCTCTGGTCAAGGGCACATGCCTGGGTTTCAGGCTCGGTCCCCAGTGGGGGGCGGGCAGGAGGCAGCCAATCAATGATTCTCATCAGTGACATTTCTATCTCTTCCTCTCCAAAATCAATAAAAATATATATATTTTTTAAAAATACATCAGGCTCCCGGTGCCTAAGAGTGGGTATGTACTAAACATTTGAGAAATGCCTCGGAAATGAGCGAGAAAGAACAGTAGCACTTTGTCCATTCCCATTCCAGAGCCATCAGAGCTGGATGGATCCCTAGAGATGACCCAGCCAGACCCCTCATTTACAAACAGGGAAACTAAAGCCCCTAGCGGGTCAGGGATTTGCCTGACTCCCCAGTCGGCAGAAGCAACAGGTCTCAAGCCTCCCTTTGCTTCACACTGCAAGCCGCCTGTCTCCATTCATTAAGGCTTTGCATGCCTGCTTTGAGGTTAGCACCAGCCCAAGTGCCGGAAGAGAAAACAAGCATAACACGCAGGTTACAAGAAGCTCGTACATTTATATCATGCTTTCTATTTATCCCCCAAAGCATGTTCGCATCCATCATTGGCCTTGCTTCTCGAAATAAACACCTTTGGAGGGAGGAAGAGGAGATGTTGCATCCCTGTGTAACGGATGTAGCACCAAGAGGATAAGGGACTCGCCAAGGTCACGGGCTACTGATGGGACCAGGAGCCGCCCCTCTTCCCAGCTGTGGTGCCAGGTCCTTGTAGGGGAAACCCCACAGTGGTGCCAGCGTGCCGGGCTGGAACCACCACACTCATCTCATACTCACCTCGCTCCCTCCTTGCTGCTGAGTGATGAAGCAATTTACACGTTGGGCACCTACCATAGCGCCAACTGTGCAGACGCAAGTGGAAAGCCACAGAGGGGATTGGCAAATCCCTGCACACAGCAAGTCAGAGTAAGGCGAGAAGCCGGGTTTTACAGCCCCTTTGCTTTTAGGTTTGCCTTGCCTTGTTCCAACAAGGTTCAAGGTGGCAGCACCCACCTTCCCAACTCAGCGCCCACCGGCTTAGCGAACCACACCACCCTCCCAGGCACATGGCACTTTCCAGTTAAAAGAGCATGTTCATGACTCCTACCTCCTTAGAACCTTCCTCTCAGAAGCAACAAGACTGGGGCAGTCAGGCCCATTTTACAGATAAGGTACTTGAAGGTTGAAATGGGGATGATAATTGTTCCCACTTGGTGGTTTGTTCCCAGGAGGGAGATCATACATGTATCATATGCCGACACACAGTAAGTCCCCAATAAATGGACTATGATTAGCTATTGACTCTCTCTGTGGCCTTGAATAAATTGATTCTCTCCTCTAGGCCTCTGACTCTATTTCATAAAATGGGAAACTCGGAGAAAAATCCCCCTTTTTTTTCAGCTGCAAAATTAGCCAGTTTTCCCAAATCTACTTAAAACCTGCTTGAGGCAAAGGTGGGGAGCTGTCTTCCCCCCGCAAACCTCACCTGGAAGTTCCTTCACCTAACCCTAGGACAGCGGTTCTCAACCTGTGGGTCGCGACCCCTTTGGCGGTCGAACGACCCTTTCACAGGGGTCGCCTAAGACCATCCTGCATATCAGATATTTACATGACGATTCATAACAGTAGCAACATTACAGTT